AACATCAGATAGGTATTGTGGCAAGCCATAATGAAAAACTTGGCATGAATATTCCAGTATTGACCTTATTGAAGCGACATAGAAGCACTTGAGATTACCAGCATCAAGTCCAAACCTTCTGAGCTGTTTCAACAGGTAAATTCGCTGGGATGCCTTATTGACTATTTTTTCCACGTGATCGTTCCATTTCAAGTCCTTTGTGATTGTTAAACCAAAAATCGATATTTTGTCAGCTCGTTCGATTTGTGATTGATTAATACTGAAGGGGGGGGGGGGATTTGGTTCATTCCGTTCAAAAGACACAACAAATTCTTTACATTTTGATGGATTAAGCTGGAATTTATTTCTTTTCAGACCAGTCAACAATAGAGTTAGTTACTTCTTGCAGAGAACTGTTTTCTGCCTGATCGGTGATGTATTCTGAAATATTAGTATCGTCCACATATTTCATCATATCCCCATCAAATTGATCGTTAGAAACTACAAGGTCATTGATCATCAGCAAAAAGAGCCATGGGCCGAGTTTAGTTCTTTGAGGGACTCCAGCATTGACAGGTTTCCAATTGGAAAAACAGTTCGGGGAAAGTTTTTCCCTTTGTAGTCTTCCCCTCAAAAAGTCTGAAATCCAGTTTAAGGTTGATGTTTTTAGACCTATTCCCTGAAGTTTTCTATAAAGAGTATTATGATCTATAAGATCGAAAGCTTTCAAATAGTCCGTAACAGAGAGCGAATTAAATATCATGCGAGTTTTTCTGTTACCGTTAACGCTAACCTGTATGACATTCGTAGTACTGAAAATCATCTTTATTACTGTTAGTCGTTTTTCGTCTATATGACTATACGGTCATGAATAAACAGCTACGAATTAAACATGCAATTTTCCCATTCTAACGAATTCAAATGATTTATATGTGCATGCTTGCAAAATATTCATATATTCTGCTGCCTTTGGTCATTTCAATGTGCTAAACAACTATTATAAAGAATTCGTTTTCAGTGCATGTTTTAAGAGTTTGCATGCCTTTCAAACTTAGTGAGTATAAGTTACTCGTATACCATATGTACTTCATAATTAGTTTTTCCCCAATAAGTGCTAATTTAGTTAGAGTAATCTCATTTGATTTTAGTAAAGCATTTGATAGTGTCGCACATGACATCTCAGCTAATAGAAAGCGTTGAGTCGAATGAATGTGAACGGTATACAGTCGTTCAGTTAAACGATGTTCGAACTTAAAATAGACCCACAGTTTGAATAATAATTAGCACTTGAAAAACAACCAATCATAGACCGAATTTCGCTGGTGTTTCCCAGAGCCTCAGCAAACCTCCACAGAGGATTGCAGGCTCAGGGTTCGAAATTACCTGTACCGAAGCACGAGAACAAACGAATAGCCTCATTAAATTAATATAAAGTTTATTTCTGTTTGTGTATTATGTTTAAACATATCAATGAAACACACAGCATAACTTTAATAAACTTATTAAGTTTCCTTCCCTTCTCATATGAAATTAAATTAATAGACTATTCTGATAATTATACGCCAGTAACAAACTGTAGAATAACAACAGTGCAGTAACATATAAGGTCATGGTTAGCCGTTGCTTGTAATATTTAAAGTAACACAACAATCCACGATTTACTGTAATTAAACAAGTTAAAATAAATCACTAACAGTATCTTACAACCATTTACTCAAAACCATGGAAAATGTAATTGCTTATATTATTGTATTTGAGCCAAAGTATACGTTACTTCACTAATTTGCCTCTTTAAGTATTCCCGAAACGTATACTCTTAAGTAATAATAGTCCGCGAATTCAAATAAAACACCTCAAATAACATCGAACGAATTAACTGTTGCCGTAGTCATGCACCGTGAAAATGTGCAAATCACGTACTAGTTTCAACAACTACGGCGTTGCACAACGCTTAAGACCATGTAATTTACATTCATCTTTGTCTTTGAGGATTAATTAATGCTATTGTTGATGACCATATTGCCGTTGCCCTTGTATTTGCCAAACTCTCTATTACGAAATGGTACGACCGCGGTACGAGACAACCTCGCACCCAGGCTTTTCTTCACGTGAACCTGCGGATTTCGCGGGGTAAATTGAAATATGCCGTTGTGCGTTACTAATAGTTTCGGGTGATAAACATGCACTTTGCAGGAAGAAATCGTGAAAGAAAACTGTTCTAAATTCGTATTCATCATGATGCGACTTGCTTCTATACTGAATGTCATCAATAATAGTTAAGTGTTGATTTACATTTCAAGCGACAAGCTGGATCCCATTTGCAAGGAAAGCACTTCGAGCATTCCTGACTTGAGCATGCTTCTCCGTACAAATATACGTATCTTCTACACCGGCTTGTTTACAGATGAAGTTTATCTATTTTGATATTCAAAACAAAGGATCTATTATATAACAGGATCCTTTGATTTCCCGAATATCTCCTACAGCGTGTAAGCAATGCTATCAGGACTCTGAAAGCGCAGGATTAAAACCTTTTATGGACTATAACATTCCCTGCCTTGTTTTTGCTGAAGCTTGACGATCTAATATTATATTTATTATACTTTAGTAATATTATCCAAACAGAAATTGATAAAGTTGCTTAATTGTTAAATGTGAATAAATTATCTTTAAATACTACAAAAATACTACAAGTTATTTTATTCAGATCTCCAAATAAAAAACCAAGTCAAATAATTAAAATTAACATAAATGGTAAAAATATTGAACAAGTTAAAACTACAACCTTCCTTGGTATTATCATTGACGAATGTTTGACCTGGGAAGATCATATAGCTAAGGTAACAAAGAAAATAGTTAGAGCTTCTGGTATCATAGCTAAAATGCGACACTTCGTGAACCGAAATTCATTAAAACTGATATATTATGCATTAATGCTGTGATGAGTGGTTATATTACTACCTTAAAAAATAAGCAGAAACTCGACGTTTCGAGCGAAGGCCCTTCGTCAAGAGTTAGGAACGTCAAGAGTTGACGGAGGGCCTTCGCTCGAAACGTCGAGTTTCTGCTTATTTTTTTAGGTACAGTCGAACCCCTATAAGCGGACACCTCTCTTAAGCGGACACCTCTATTAAGCGGACACATATCTCAGGTCCCAATCGTTTTCTTTAATAAAATACTATTATCATAACCCCTATTAAGCGGACACCCCTCTTAAACGGACGCGGACACCTTACTTGAGGTCCCAATGGGCAAACCAACCTCTCTTAAGCGGACAGATGACAGATTGTCTGATAAAATGTATTCAATATTCGACAGTAAATAACAATTGAGATCAATTTACATGGCACATTGACAGTGACACACCAACCTGGTGCGAAGACATCAGAGCCAAGATTATTGAGGAAGTGACAAACAAGGACTGTGAACTGCCAGCCGAGGAGCCGAAAGATATGTGTCAGATCACTGATGACAACGAACTGAACGAAGATGATGAATTTGACTTGTCTCTTAACGAAACAGTCATTAAATCATCCTCCGAAGCCCTTAAAGTTGTCGAGCGGCTGGCAGAATTCGCACAATTTCGAGGTTTGGAAAAACTTTCCAACGCCATTTTTCTGTAAACGACATTATAATGGGCTATCGTCTGCGTGAGCCGTGAGCCTCGAAAGCAAACTTGTATCGATTCCTTTTTTATGACTGTGAGAGACGTATACATTTTCTAATGAACTTTTATGCACAAAGAAATTTTCATTTTATGCTAATTATTTGCTAAGATATTTTTTACTGTTTTGATACTCAAATTACACACCTAACTAGGGTACCTGCAAGGTAGGGATTGTCGCGTGCATTAAAAGCAAATAGAACTACAGTAAAAAGCACAAATTATATCAAGCACAGTGATTACTAGCCTGTGCACATCCTGTATTACCCTGTACTACAGGTAAGTTGCGTAACATTAGACTTGAAAAAGCTTTAGAAATTCGATAAAAATTCGAAGACTCGAGCGAGTTTAAAATTTGTGTTCTGCGCATAGAAAGCGCGCACGACCACAATTCCGTGCGCTTAATAAAATTTAGTTCAAAACCCCCTCTCTGCATATATTAGGTTGCTGCTACGCTCGCTCGCTTCAGGCTCGCTCGCTCCGCAGCAATTACACACCTTTGCCTCTTGCTGCGTTTTTCTGCATGCCCCTTTTAAGCGGACACCCCTTTTAAGGGGACACTTAGGCGAGGTCCCGAAGGTGTCCGCTTAATAGGGGTTCGACTGTAGTAATACTCAGCACAGTATTTCTACATTGGTACTACCTACCTATAATTTGTTTGACTGAAGAAGAAGTTTTTAAATCGTTAAATGGTGTTAAGCTGGGAAAATCCAGTGGCCCAGATTGCCTGCCCAACTGGGTCTTAAAGAAGTTTGCAGTTATTCTAGCAATGCCAATCTCAATCATTATAAACACATCATTTAAGGAAAATCGAGTACCTGCCTGCTGAAAAATGGCTAACATCTGCCCAATCCCAAAAGTTAAACAGGTGATAGATGTTAATAAAGATCTTAGACCTATATTTCTTACCTCAACACTCAGTAAAATCGCTGAAGATGCCGTAATAAAATACGATCTAAATCCGGCAATAATGGATCGCCTGGATTGTAACCAATATGGCTTCATACCAGGTTCTAATACCACCCTGGCTTTAATTACCTTAATCCACCGTTGGTCAAAGACAGTAGACAAAGAGGGTGGATGTGTACGCTCACTGGTTACGGACTATCGGAAAGCTTTTGATCTTATAGATCATAATACTCTTTATAGAAAACTTCAGGGAATAGGTCTAAAAACATCAAACTGGATTTCAGACTTTTTGAGGGGAAGACTACAAAGGGTAAAACTTTCCCCGAACTGTTTTTCCAATTGGAAACCTGTCAATGCTGGAGTCCCTCAAGGAACTAAACTCGGCCCATGGCTTTTTTTGCTGATGATCAATGACCTTGTAGTTTCTAACGATCAATTTGATGGGGATATGATGAAATATGCGGACGATACTAATATTTCAGAATACATCACCGATCAGGCAGAAAACAGTTCTCTGCAAGAAGTAACTAACTCTATTGTTGACTGGTCTGAAAGAAATATATTCCAGCTTAATCCATCAAAATGTAAAGAATTTGTTGTGTCTTTTAAACGGAATGAACCAAATATCCCCCCAATCAGTATTAATCAATCACAAATCGAACGAGCTGACAAAATATCGATTCTTGGTTTAACAATCACAAAGGACTTGAAATGGAACGATCACGTGGAAAAAATAGTCAATAAGGCATCTCAGCGAATTTACCTGTTGAAACAGCTCAGAAGGTTTGGACTTGATGCTGGTAATCTCAAGTGCTTCTATGTCGCTTCAATAAGGTCAATACTGGAATATTCATGCCAAGTTTTTCATTATGGCTTGCCACAATACCTATCTGATGTTATTGAAAGGATTCAAAAGAGAGCACTGCGCATAATTTATCCTCAACTGTCCTACCAGGATGCTCTATGTTAGAATTAAAGACTTTATCTACACGCAGGGGTGATTTATGTAAGAAACTTTTTAACTCGATTCTGGACAATGAGGACCATAAGCTTCACAACTTACTGCCACCTAAGGTGACATCCGATACATATAATTTTAGGAACGAAAAACTTTTTAATATTCCAAAATATCGTACTAATAGATATAGAGATACTTTTATAATATCTAGTCTAATAAACTCGTAAAAATTGGTATTTTATAATACAGAACTAATAGTTAAGAGATCCTTTTTATAATATTAAATTAGGAATTTTTGTAATTGTTTTAAACCCTTTGTATAAGAATCACGTAATTCAGCTCTATATGGCTGCTAGGTGTTTTTTAATAAACAGATTATCTACACTGGTACAGACAGTTTTAGTATATATTATGCATTAGTCTATCCATACTTGATTTATGGCAACTTAACATGGGGTAATACTTATAAAAGTAGAATCCAAAAAATAATGAATATTAAAAAAAAATTTGCGCCTATATAATGACTTTCAAGTCTTACTTAGAGCACGGTGAGCCAATTTTCAAACATTTAATTATCCTAGACATCTTCAAAATCAATGACTATTTAACTGCCTTATTTATGTTTCGATACCACCACCTTAATAATTTACCAGACTTTTTTAAAAATTATTTTTTAATAAACAACCAAATTCATGAACAGAACACGAGGAGTGCTTCAAAGCCTCACAAATGTTATAAAAGGACAAATTATGTAAAACACACTCTCTCAAATATAAAGGAGTTGATGTATGTAATTCGTTAGAAAAAATTTAATCAAATAAACTACTATAACACCTTCAAAAAAAAATTAAACAACATTTACAGCTATACACAATTGCCAATATATAAGACATGCAATATATAACATGTACTTCTTATCTATATGTGTATAATATATGATACTTCAGTATATTGTAGCCCAATCATTGTAAAAATTCAAATGTATCTATAACATATTTAATTTATATAATACGAAAATTCTCCCTTCTTTTTCTCTTTTGTATATATAGTATATATACGTCAAAACTTTCTGATTTTACACATTGTATTGATTGACTGTAAATAATTATGTAATCTATCGCAAATGAACAGTAACTAGATGCCTAAATAAAAAAGTTTATCAAGATTTCTAGTAGGTCTCTAGCCCAAAATCTTTAAATTATTGTAACATATTTTTAGTAGCTTTTTTTATATATACATGGGAAAACAATAAAATAAAAAAAAATGATTATATCGAAGTATAGCTATCTGTTATCACACAAACACCAAGACTCCTCCTTTTCTTAACTATGAATATTCGAGGTTACAAGCGAGTTATTTGGCCTAGTGATATTCGTATCGTATGCAGAATTGCCGTATAGACTCGCAATTGATTTGGAACTCAATACGATTTTCATTAGATTTATTTCAGAAATCGCTTTTTTTATTTAAAGAAAAGCCCGCTCAATTTTTTTTTATTTTGATCGTGCGGTTGTGTGGGATAATCTATGTACTGGTTGCTGTAGGGAGCCTCCTTAATATATAAAGTAAGTTATAATCCAAAACGTACGTAATAAAATTAGAAAACAAATACCCTCAGACAGCCTGAGCACAGATTAAGTATGACCAAAAGATGTCTCAGTAACTTAATTTAATTAATTAATAGGACTTCGCTTCCTCAAATTTCCCGAAGCTGTACACGTCATGACACGTGCTAGGGAGATGGCGGCGTAACATTTGGTGTTACCGAAATAACGAATTATCACGTAAGCACACTTAATAGGAAGATAGCATCCACAAGACAACTTTTTTATGAAGTTAGGCCTGTTTTATACGTGGAATTTCGATCGCGTCGAATGTAATTCAAACAATAGATGAAGCTTTATGAGGTTTAGCATCTCATTATCTATTGTCTTAATTGCATTCGAAGCGACCAAAATTGGACGTATAAAACGGGCCTTATATGTGGTCTGGGCCATCTGTGGTATAACGGTCTGTTTTAGTATTGTTCCCAGTAAACTGGAAAACAACAGGGTTTTTTGTGCTTGACGTTGAAAAATATATGATCCGCAATGTGCCAAAATTATATGTCAATTACAGAATGGAGATAATTGTTTCTAGTAGATATTTGCAACAAATGGAAGTTCATAAGAATTTATAAAGCTCTAAAAATGAACAAATTTGGGAGAATATGCACGAGAGAAATTCAAAATACGCGAGCATGCGAGCGTCGCTCGCAGGCAGCTTTTGAATTTTGCAGGCACATATTAAAATGCTGACATTTTAACAATATTTAGGTCACAAAATGTAAATAAGATGTGTTTTTGCAGGCACATTTTGAATTTCGCTCGCAGGCGCCAAAAGTGTTATCGAGACCTGATTAAATGGAGATATTCCATCCATTTTGTTGCATTAACCTTGTCTTTCTAGACTCTAACCCCGTTTACGTTTCCATATATTGAGAATGGAGTTAACGAATTTTTAACGTTTAATTCATAACTACTCACTTGATTGGATAATAAAATTAGAAAATGCATTTTGCCGTCAGGTTATTAAGTAAATTGAAACTTGTTGTTTTCAAACGCCGGCTGCAACAAGTTGAGATCGCGTGGTATACAAACATGCACCACGTGATTGACAAAACTCACAAACCGCCTTAACAATTAAAAATGGTCGTTTCGCAGTTTACTGTGGGCAATAGTATATATAACTACAGACGGTACCGTTTCGGCCTTATGGGCCTCATCAGTGTAGTGCTGAGGTGTTTCCTAGCCTCCTCCACAGGCATCTCACTGAGGAATCGGGTGGTGAGAAAAAGTTTGGTGAGATGCCTGCCATAAATCGACACAAAAATTTGCACTGCGCATACCGGCTCGCGCATGCAAATTTCGACAAACTCAAACTTAGGGGGAGTAGGAAGGGCTTACGGCAAGGAGTGAAGAAAAAAATGTTTTCAACACGATGGCTTACAAGACGAGTAAAACTGTAAAATTAACGAATAATCTTGCTCTTCAACATTGCAAATACAAAGGGAACTTTGACGAAGGAGCTGAGAACGTTATCGTGAGCCGAGGCAGCGATTTACTGGGATTGTTTAGAGACGAGTGACTTCGCAGAGCAGTGAATTCACGTTGTCGTCGATTCATGTCAAGAAAAGGTTTCAATTGAAAGTTTATCGTTGATATATACAAATTTCTATTCAAATTGTTGACGACATTTTATATCATAATAAGTTGAAAGTGATTTAGTCGAAATTATAACACGAAAAGGAACGATCGAAATGTTGACATCTGTGACTGTGCCTGCGTATGAAATATATAAACACCTCTTGCCTTTTTTTAATACGCTTGTATGGAAGGAAATCATTAATAAAATTTATAAAAGTCTTAAACAAATAGCTCTCTTATTTTGGAATACACTGTGCAATTTATCCCTTGGTCCCTTGGACAAAGACAAAGTTTTCGAACTTGAGTGTCTCAGATGTGGCTGAAATTAGCAAAATTTTAATTTTGTGACAGGGAATAGGACCTCTACATGCGTCTTGGACCTGTGGTGTACTTATAATCATTATTTATCTAAAGGGTTTCTTTTATTTTCAACAGGGTCTTGAAAGTAGACCATGCTGTGAAATATTGTATAAAAGGTGCACTCGTATTATGTGTGTGTGTGTTGTTTTGTGTCTTTAGTGGCCCTGTTTTATATATAGGTGTGAGTTATGTAGACATAAGGGAAAGGACAACCGGAATTTAATAAGAATCTAATAGTTTTCCAAGTGAAGGTTTATGTGGTGCAACAGGATATAAAGACCTGTCTTAATAACATTTGCCTTGGGTTTGTTAACCAATGGAGGCATTTCATTCCATTTTGCTTACCAAAGTTCACAGACAAAATATTTACATGGGTAAAATCCCTATAACCATACAAACAGTCACTGAGGAAACTTCCCAGTGATAAACGTGTTTTCAGGGATCGGATGGATCCAGCATGATCTGGTAGGGGAGTGCTCTGCCAGCTCTGGTGTCGAGTGACTCGAGTTGTGTCGTCATGTGTGCAGCCCGCCCATTGACATACAGCAACAGCAGTATTCTGACAATTTGGCAAAACAACCTCCATGAGGTACAAGTGTACTGTGTACAATATCTCATCTTGTCTCTAAAATGTTTTGCTTTATGAAAAACAGCACCCCCCCCCCGGTCAGGGCTAGGGAGGGGGTGCGCACCCTCCCCCCCCTCCCCAATAAATCCATCCCTGCATGTTTTGCTATTAATTGTTACATTACAACCACCCAAAAGTTTTCCAATGGTGGCTATATATTAATTGTAAGCTGTGACAAGTTTACAACAATTATGATAAATTTGGCACGCTTTAGATTAACCATTATCTGCACTCTCCCCTAGAATAGTAAAATTGTCTGATGTTAGACAGAGTAAAAGCAGGGGCATGCTGGCAAGGGATGAGACAACAAGTACTTGTTGTGGGCCCCTGGCATTGTAGGCTCTTACATGATACATGCCGATCTAGATTTATTATATTTAAAACAAATATATGTCTAGAGAAATTATTCCAGATAATTTCCTCAAATTGTAGTTCCTTGGCTGTCGGCTGAACAATCGAGCGGAACTCTGAACCCATACATTCATTACAGTATTAATACATTGTAGACATTGTAAACATTTGGCTGCTCCGAGCGAGCGATTCAAAATTTGCATGTCGTTTTTAGACCGCGAGAGAAATTGCGATATATAATCCTTTCAATTGACCAACTAATTTTCGTATACCTTGAATATCTCGATGCATTTTATGCATGAACCGATCTCGGCCAATGCTGTAAAACTGAATTCCATACTAGATATTTATGGTATGGATCAGCTAATAAACGAACCTACAAGAATTACTAATTGTTCTCAAACCTTGATTGATCTATGTTTCACAAATGTACCATCAAAAATAATAAAATTCGGCGTTAACCACATATCTATTAGCGATCATTCACT